GGCTGATCATCTTAACAAGTCATAATTATCATCAATATCAATTAATGCCTTTCATTCAATGGTTTTGCCAAGACCCGGGACTGACAGCAGGTCTGCTGGAGTATAACGAGCAAGAGTTCGCTTTGGCCGCAAAGGTTTGCACACTCCAGTTGCTGCTACCTGTGCCATATGATGACAACAGTTTCTTGCCGAGAAACTCATGCAGACTGCGCCAGCTGCACAATTTCTGCAAGTACATCTTCACGGTCCGTGACAACTTTGTGAAGAGACGTGTGGAGAAGATGATCCTCATTTGACTTGGAGCTGTCCAGTAAGTAAGTAACTCATGTTGTTGTTCTTGTATTGTATGGTTGGAGACATGTGCAACATGCATGTACAGCCAATAAGAATATTTTGTTTGCAGCTGTCTGAGGAAGTCAATCCTGAAAGCTGCTGCGGCGCTTGGACAGGGTGGGCGCAGGGGACTCAAGCGGGTGGCCTCAGCACCTGATGATGAAGAGGGCCAGGGCCAACTTACGATGGGGGAGGCAAGCCTGAAAGGAACCGGTCGCCGCACGATTCGGTGTCAGATCATGGACGATGAAGAGGTGGCTGATGAAGTGCTTGAAGCTTCGGACCAGGAGGAGTTGGATGCGATTGGCCCGATTAGTGATGTCAGCCAGTCGGTGATGGCGTCACCAGATGGACCGCCACAAGCTGCAAGTTGGCCCGAGTTGCCCAGAGGCTAAGCTGGGATTGTTCGCGGCTGTGACCTTGAAGCGCCATCACATGCTGCCGCTGTTGGGGCCACTCGGCACATCATCAGGTCAAAGGGTAAACAATGGTAAACACACCCCATATGACAATGTGGTTCAAGGATCAGGAAAACCAAACCCTAGACCCTCACTATTCCACTGAAGCCTTAACCCTAAGCGCCAGGAATAAACCCAAACCCCTGTGTGTTTACTGAATTCCGATCGAGGCCCGACTTCGCCAGCTACGAGGAGGTGGTCCGATTCGTGACCGAAAGCGGCCAGCCCAGCTTGCTGGAGCGGGTCGTGGAGACTTATCAGCTGTCAACTCAACTTTTCAACTGTTCTGGTTCTTTTCAGGTAATTGATTCTGAAAGTATCAACTTTTATTCCTTTGGGTTTTGGGCCAGTGAGGAAATCGAAGACTCCTCGAATGGCCCGAATGGCGGACAGCCGTGGTTCCGAGTGTTGACGAGCATTGGCGGCTTCGTCAACGATTTCCATGGCATCCAGAAGGGGGGTCCGAATGCCGAGGTGATTCTTGGTGTTCTTTTGGTTGGCTCTTTAACTTTTGGGGTTTCTATATGAATTATAATAAAGAGGCTAAAAGTTTAATTTTTAGGAGGGGTTCAGAAGTCAGCTAAGGATTGCTCACCCGGCAAATGGCCGGGGACACAGATTCCTCTACCTGACCTGCTTAAAGCAGGTCCCGAAGGGCAGGGAGGTGGTGGTGTCCTACAATAACGACTTGTGGTTCGTTGTGCCCGAGCTGCTTGGTTGGCAAAAATCCCTAAAGCCCTAAGCCCTTAACAAGCAACAAACCCTAAAGCCCTATAAGCCCTAAAACGAACCCTAAAAAAACTCTTTCAAAGAACCCTAAAGCGCCAACCCCTTAAAAGAGCCCTTTAATGGAGCCCAAAAAGCCCCCAGCACCTCAATGAAACCTTGAAAGAACCCTTCATGTAGGAATCAACCCTTTAAAGGAGCAAACATTCGTTTCTGAAAGCCATACACATCCGTAAGGTTGCCTGAGAGGCCGGTCCGAAAGCGTGTGGCGAAGAGTGGTCCGAGTCGTGCCGCAAAGGCAACTATGCAGCACTTTCGCAGAGGGCCATAGGGGTACCTATTTGTGATTTTAATTTTCTTCTTGCAAAACTGCAACCAAGGCGAAGCCTGCAAATAAGCGTGCCAAGAGGCAGCCTGAGCCGACAGAGCATGAGAAGGAACCGGAAGAGGACCATGCATCCTGTGCTGGATCATGCAAAGACTTGCCTGCAACCATGGCCCAAATGGACATACCATAATCTTGTTAAGGTTGATTGATAATCCTGGCCAGGAGGATCAGGAGGTCCCCCCGGCAGACGGGGATGACACGGCGGAGCATGAGAAGGATGCTCAGGAGCCAGATGAGGACGATTGTGAGGATGACGATGTCCATGTCATGGAGCCAACAGGGTGAAACACCAGAGTTGGCCCGAGTTCAGTTTTGACCTGTAGTTTTGACCCATGCTCTGAAGCAGCAGCGAGCCGAACATCGCCACCAGTGCCATGGCTCATGATTTGACCCATGCTCTAAAGCAAGCCGAACATTACCGCCAGTGCCATGAGCCATGGTTCATGATTTGACCCATGCTCTGAAGCGAGCCGAACATCACCACCAGTGCCATGGCTCATGATTTTGACCCATGCTCTAAAGCGAGCCGAACATTACCACCAGTGCCATGAGCCATGGTTCATCATTTGACCCATGCTCTGAAGTGAGCCGAAAATCACCAGCAGTGCCATGGCTGAGGAAAGAAAAATTGAGCGCCAGGGGATTGTAAACCTGACAGCATTCTGCTATTTGGGGCCCTTCCCCAAGCTCCATGTGGTTTTGGCATTCATGAGGTCATTGCATTGCTGGTGGGATGAGTCTTTCGAGGAATATGGTTCTGTCCGGCACCCAGATTATCATCATTGTCTGAAAGCCAAGACTCAAGAGAGCTTGTAAGTACGATGATGCATGGCATCTCCAGGAATCATCAGCTGCAGAGTGAAAGGTTGGTAAGTCCTCCATGGCCAGTCTAGTTTTGGCTCATCCAGCAGCACACAGGTGCAATGCCGATGTTCTGTGCATGCTTCATGTCCGGCTGCAATGTCTGCTTCCAGGGCCCGAAACAGGCCCGAGATGTGATTTCCTCAAAGAAGCTGAAGAGGCATCATGTGAGTCCGATGCTGGCAGCAGCAGCAACAAAGACGGCAAGAAGCCACGGCCCGATTCCAGCACTTTGTGGTTGCTTCTTAGAAAGCTGCAACACATGCTTTCCACCTGTTCCACCTGCTGCAGCAGCAGCACCAAAGGCTGCAACAAGCCGTCCTGTTCCACCTGCTGCAACAGCGCCAGAGATCGAAGAGAGCAGGTGCACCAGGCCAAAGGTGGCAACAAGCTGTTCTGGCCCAATTTGTGGTTGCTTCTTAGAATCCTGCACCACATGCTTTCCACGGGCTGGATTTTCAAAGAGCCACAGGCAGCCATCAGTGAGGCATGAGAAAACGGAAGCCATTGAGGAAGCCATGGCATGCCCAGGACAAGCTGCAGAACTAGGAGTTTCAGGCTTTGTGCATGAGATGGGGAGAACAGCAGTGACTGCCCGACTCTTCATAGAGGCATGCGCTGGGAGTTGTCGACTTTCCAGGGCGACCGCTGCGGCTGGAATTCCCACATGGAGCTTTGAGGTCACCCGCGGTGGCCCCAATGAAGACATCTTGCGGCCTGAGTGTCTAGAGCTGCTGCTGTCATATATCAGGAAAGGCTTGGTGGCCTGCTTGTGGCTTGGGCTGACATGTGCCAGCTGGTCTCGGGCAAGGCGTGGAAAGCGACGAGGCCCGATTGACCCAGCAGCCCGAGGCCTGAGTGCACGGCCAAAACGTGGAGGGTTTCCAGCTCCTCTGCGCAGCCGTGAGTACTTGTGGGGGCTTCCTCGGTCTGAATTGACGACTTCAGAGCTCAAGAAGCTTGACCATGGCAATGCCCTTGCCAAGTGGGCCATAAAGGTCGTGAAGGAGGCCCGAAAATATGGTACGACTCTTATTGTGGAGAACCCCCGCACATCATGGATATGGGAACTGCCCGAGTTGAAGGAGCTCATGTCTGGGCCTGACTTCAACTTCGGGACGTTCCACCACTGTCAGTTCGGGCAACCATGGAAGAAGGCAACATCACTGGCAATGTGGGGGAAGTTCTCCGGAGGGCCTGGGCATCTTGCCAAGATCTTGCGCACGTGCAAAAGCCGGCGTTGCAGTGTCACTGGCAAGAAGCATGAGCGATTGCAAGGTTTTGTGACCGGCCCCAAAGCCAAGGGTAAGACCAGCTTCAAAACGAGTCAGGCTGCCGCCTACCCACAAGAGTTTTGCAAAGCTTTCGCACAACTTCTGGTGGACAGTCTGGACAGATGAGCCAGGGCTAGATGTATTTATGAAGGAGCACAGGGGTGAAGTGTGGGGGCCAAGACTCCAGGGTATCCGACGGTCCGATAGTGACATAATATAACCCAAATTGAGTAACTATTCTATTGATTATCATACATGCTAGTAAAGTATAAAAATTCAACAAACTCATTTGATAGAGATTGCCAGTCTGCTGAGGATACTTGGGAGTTGGGCAACTTGACCAAACGTTGTCTAGGGACCTGGAAGACATGCCGAATGTCATGCTTTCCATTGCATTCTGCATCACCGGAGAGGGGCCGAATGTATGCCAGGCTGCAACACTCGAAAAAGCTGCATGGTTGCCTGCAGTATAATGAGTCGGGGCATGCGTGTGCTGCATTTGTAAATGTCCAGCCCAACCCAAGGTGTTGCAGCCGACTTGATCCCCACTGTGATGTACAGGCGCTTCAGGCCAGGCCATTCTATTAATTGTTTTTATCTCATGTGTCTGCATGTGGGAATTCATAATGCAGGCAACATGTGCTGTTTGTGAAATCGAACACAGGAGATGTGCTGATACCTGGAGCTTTTTGAAGACGAAGATGACAAGCATGTCACAATCCCAGCATCGAGAGTGATGTGCCTTGGGGGCTTGGTGCACTCATCGGTCTCAGATGGCACCTTGAAGTCAGCGCAGCTTGCTTTTGCTCAGTGTTTGCATGGAAAAAACATCCAGCAAGCGTCCCATCAGATCGGCTGAGTACACAAAACCCAACAGAGAGTTATTTGCTAGGTCTAGTTATCAAGTTATCTCAGAGACACATTGCCTGAATAAGATTCCAGGCAGGGCACATACAGGCAATGAGTGGCAGCTCAGAGTCTCGGCCTAAGGGCCAGATTGTCACTGCAGGGCCGGAGAGCAGTGACCAGCTGGCAGACCCATTGCGGCCCACAACAGTGGAGACACAGGTGCTGCTGCCAAATGGCACATCACGATCCATCTGCTTGAAGTGTTGGCCTCATGGGTCCGAGTTAAGATGGGAGCCGCGAAGGCTCTTGCTAGCAGCAGGGTATCGTTACGACAGCCACCGCACCAAAGTGTGCAATGTGTTCACAAGCCAGCAAGCGATGTGGGACATCACATTGGGCTGGCTCTTGATGCCAGGACTAGGGCACTCCTTTGGTCAGTCATCACACAGCTCTCGGGCCCGATCTGTCGAGGTCAGTGCTGATTCAGCAGAGGAGGAGTATTGGGTCAGCGCACAATGGATGCTGGGTCTTCTCCTGCAATGGCAGCATCGGAGACGAGATGTTCAAAAGCGGGAGGAGGTCCGAGTTCTTGCAGAGACCGTCTTTCAGATTCTGTGCCCACGGAACCGATGGCCCGAAGGCTGCTCAAGACTCAGACAAATCAATTAAGTCAGTTATGCTATAAAGGTCATAGTTCAAAACTCTGGTAATATTTCATTTCTCAGACAGGATTAACCTTAGTTCAATTCAGGCAGCAGGGAAGAAGCATCACTTGTCTCATCAGTCATCCATAAGATCATATTCTTAACTCTTGAATTATAATTATCCCCTTATGTCACACTGTGATCTCAGCAGTGATCCAGTTCAGGTTGGTTCGGTCACCTCCCAGAGCCCACCACTGCAGAGACAGAGCTCTGCAAACATCTCGATCTGGATCTCATGGCAGAGAGGCCCGAGTGCGCCTGTATGCAAGAGCTTCGTCAAATGTTGGGAACCCTGCAAATAGCAGACGATGCGACACCTCATGCTCAAATGTGGGGCCGACTTGCAGCGGGTTTCGAATTCAGTCATTGCCCGACTGTCGGCGCACTCACCGGCCGCATGCTCAAGGATGTCTCGGATCGAATTGGCGCATGCTTCTCAGACTGGGCGAATGTTGACTTCTTGAAATCGACTGGGCTGGTCTTGTTGGGTCCGAGTAACAAAAAGCGTCGACTGGACCCACACTTCAAGGAGGCCGCTATTCAGTCTGTTCTGCAAGAGGGGCAGTCCGACAAGGCTAGAAACTTCAGCAAGGCGATGAAGGTCGTAGACGAGAAGACCACTTTTCGATGGATCGAATCGGCCTTACTCCAGCTAAGCGCCGCGGCCCGAGTGACTTTCCATCAAATTGGGGTTTGCTCGATTGCTCTGGATGGTGCCCGAATGGGGAAGCCGGCGCACGATTGGCTGTTCATTGCACAAAGCATGGGCTCTAAGCACTTAGTGATGCCACCGCAGGACATGATATTGGTCTGAGATTATTTTGTTTTGTAATGACTTTCAGGGATCTATGACTTCTGCTTGGAAGTTGTCTGTATTTGTTAACTTCTTCCTGTTGACTTAATTTCATAGTGCAGGTTTTGTACTGACTTGCTGATGTTGTAAGTACTTACTAGGGGAAAATTATTGTATCAAATCAGTCTACACTAATGGATTTATGATTGTGGGTTTAGATGCTGCAGGATCTCGGGCTTTCACTGACGAAGAAGGTGCAAAGGAGCCTCCATGCCCCAGTGCCCGAATCTCGGCTACAAGCCAAGAATCTGGAGGAGGAGGTCCGACTCTTCATGAAAATGAAGGACGGACCTGAGTCCCCTGAAAAGCGGCAGGCCAACCTGAAACACTTGGTGGCCCTCGACTGGGCTTTGGTCCGAGTGAATGGTTGGGGCTTATCTGCTTTCATGCCATCACGTCCCTGCACTATGCTACCAGCAGGCGCGAAACGGTACATGACCGAAATGGTATGTCCGATTTCAGGCGAGCCTCGCAAGAGGAGCTGCTTGCTTTTGGCTGATGGTTCACGAACCTACGAAGTGCCGGTCCGAGTGCAGCAAGGTGTGTTGGTTCGACCTACGCTGCATTTGGCCCAGGATCAAGGCAGCTCCTTCTGGTATTCCGGTGTTTTTTTGGTTCAGGGCACCGATTTTCGTGGCACTGTCAGCTGGGACCTATGCCATCGCCTGATCAATGACTTGGCAGAAGCATGGAGCAGTTCCGGGCTGACTTTGGCCCGATTAGAGCACGCAACATTGATGTCCATTCGACGGGGTCCGTTCAATCGGCAAGGGCACCATGACACTTTGCTCTCTGCGGCCCGAGATCTTTTTGCCCGAATGGACTTCCGCAATGGCTTGCTACAGCTCTTCTATGAAGACATCTGCGAAGATCTCGGGTTGGAAGCTGAGGGGTCCGATGAGCATTACCAAAAGGTCTGGGAGATTTGCAGGACCGAGTTGTGTAATGCCAACATGGGACATTGCCCGAAGAACTCACGATGGTTCAGTATAGAGGAGCTGCACCGCCAGCAGCGACACCTTCGCACAATGACCCTGATGCTTCTTGTGTTCCATGGGATCCAGAAAAACTGGTGGAAAACTCTGGATGAATCCCCAGTTTTCAGTGGTCCGAATGCCAATGCTCCCCAAGGAAGGCCAGCTGAAGATGATGAAGAGGAAGAGGAGCAGGCCCAAATGGAACAAGAAGACGCCCAAGAGGAAGGTGAGGATCCGGACATCATCGGAGATGGACCGACGGCCAAACGGGTGAGCGAGGCTGATGGACGCAAACTCATCAATCGGAAAAGGCAGCAGAAGAGCTTGTCAGCTACACTCCGCTATGCAGTTGACATTCTTTGCAGACGGCGCACGCTGCGGCTTGTGGATGGCTGCATGCTTTTGTCGACACCCCTGGAAAGATTCTTCAAAAGTGCTATGACCATGCTGAAGACGAGGTGGGGAACCGCAGAGTTGATGCAAGATATGGCCCGACAAGGACTGACTCGAGTGATCCAGGAAACACTGCAAACTTGGATCGGGCCGGAGTGGAGAGCGGCGGATAAAGCCGACGCATGTGTCTTCTGGAAGTTCACAATCACGCTGTGTGGAGAGCTTGCACTGACACAAGCGAAGTACGCCGTTCCTCCGAAGAGCTTCGTGCTGCTGGTGGATCCGAGCTCTGAGGTCAGAAAGAAGGCCCTGATCCGATTCAAACGGGACTGGGACAACCTGGACCGATTAGAGAGCTGGATCAACAGCAACCATGCAGCAAAGAGGTCCATGGTCCCAGTTCGCCGCGGCATGGAATGGCCCGAACAGACATGGGTCCGAGAGAACTTTGTGCAGCTGCTGGAGTGCAATTTCGAAGATGCACGAGTGTACAGCTTTCTCAAGGAAGAGCTGAGGCAGTATGCCCAGGGCATGAATGCGACATTGTACATCGAGAACCTCATTCGCGAAGCCCGTGCGAAGTGTCGCTCCAACGGGCAGAAGGCAAGGCACTCTGGCACCAGCTGTCCATGGCATCCACACTGCCTGCCGATTTTGACCGGCCTACAATGCCGGTCAAAGGTTCAAGTGTGCCCCATTGGCACACTGCCGACTTCTGGCCCGAACTCACTTCCACGGAATATTTTTGCTTGCAACGATGTCGAGCAGTGCACCCTGTCTGAAAGTGACAGGAGCAAGCTTACGGATGCAAGACCTACATGGCCCAATCACTCGGCCCGACGCCACAAAGAACCTTGGATTTATACTTAATTAATTAAACAGCCTCTGCCTGCAGTGGTATATATTTCTTTATATTATAATAACTCAGCAGTTGACTCAGGGCCATATTATATTATTTGTGAAGCATGCTTCCATTGATTGATTGGTGGTTGCTTAGGAAGTGGCATGTCTCACTTTGTTGGGCCGACTTGCAACGACTTTGGGAGGATTTCACCAGTGCCTGGCAGTCACTCCTTGTTCCATGTGGGGCACTCGTCTGGCATCGTACGAGAAAAATCTCACGGCTGGTTGTGTACACAACACCATATGGTTTCTTGGGCTTGCGATGTGGAACTGTAAAGCAAGGTGACAAGGACTTCTTGTCTTTGGAGGACTTTCCGGGAGATGCAATGGGCTTCGAAGTGGTCTTGTCTCATGAGGACTGGCGATGCATTCTGGTAGAGCCTGAGAAGCAAGATGAGGGTCCGATTCGCCTTCGGGTGTACCGTGAAACCGGTCAGACCCTCCTCAAATACAGTGCATTGCACGGCTTTCCAAGAATGACTGTGTTCTGGTTGAAGAAGCTTCACAAGCTGCTGGAAGTTCCTGGCATACAACCTAGCAATGAAGTTGGCTGGGTCCGAGCACTGGCTAGACACATCCTCCAGGAGCAAGCATCGGAGGAGACACTTGCAGCAGCTGTGAGAAGCAGGACTTCATGCCAAGAGGATGTCGATGCTGAGCAACTGATGCAGCTGGAGGAATTGCTCGAGGAGGAAGCTGAGGATGGTGACGATTTCAATGATGTCGAACTTCAAACAGAGCTGGATGAATGCAAGCGAAAGCGCTTGGCCAAAATCGCCCGGGAAGCTCGGGCTGCTGCTGACAATGCCAAGGCAGCTCAGGAGGAAGCTGCAAGGGGTCCGAATGACCCACCTGCTCCCGATGGTGGCCATGGCCAACGCAGGCAGGCTTTGGAATGGCCCAATTCAGGGTACACACAAGCCCAGGCTAAGCAATTTTTGCCTCCAGGCTTCAAAATCAGCAAGGAGTCTGTTTGGCATCATCGGTGGAAGATTACTTATCCCGACGGCTCGATGCGTTCCCCGACTTTCCCTGTTGAAGTGCCTGGGTCCGATAATGCTTGCCTTCGTCGTCTCTTGGTACAGGCCTGGGGCGTGTACAGCCGGGAGACAGGCCAACAGTGCCCGTTTGACTTTGAGCAGGTTCTCGGCTGAGCTGCAAAACATCTTCAACCCTAAGCCTGAATCCTGAAACTTGTCTCTAAGTTGGGATTTCTTGTGGGATGAGTCCCCGCAAATGCATTGCCTCACGTTGCAGAGTTTGGGCTCCAAGTTTTGTCATCGTCCTCACATCAATCCTCCAAACATGGCTTCTCAGCAGCAGATGCCTCTGGCACCGAAACTGCATTCCAGCTCGACAACATCGCCGCCATCAAGCATGATGACAACCATGCCGGGCCCGACTGCAGCACAGCAGAGCCTGTTATTGAGCGAACTCTTGCATATGCCAAGGGACCAGGTCGTGTCCGCGGTTCGACTCATCCAGAAAGATTCTCTGTGTGCCTTTTGTGCCCGAGTCTATTTTGTGGAGTTCTTGGATGATGGGGACGGAACTTCTTATGATCGCTGCAAGCACCCAGATTCGGATTGCCGCTGCGACTGGTAGAGCCCAGAACCACGCCAGAGGGGGAAAATGATGATAGAAGCTGTGGCTGGAAGCGAGTGCACTTTCTAGGGGATTGTCATTTTGAGGGAGAGTCCACCACCAAGCCTTCAGGTCCGAGTGGAGCCACCTCGACTTGACAGCTCTCCCCAACGACAAGGCCCAACCCTTTGCACAGACTGTGTTGCAAGTGTGTTTGGTTCCCCTTTGTCAACTTCTGCCAGGTGGATCTCCTCTACATGATGGCAGTGGTCTTCGAGAGCTACAGCATGCACACACACACACACATACAACTACAGGGATACATCGCTAAACTACTAGTCGTCCGTCCATGCTCAGCAGGTTTTTCAGTAATGAGTCCCAGCACTAACCCATAGGCACGATCACCAACTTGTTCACTCCAAACAAAGGTCACCCTTAACAAAGGTCACCCGTTGCACTTCCCGAATTCAGGTCGCGGATCTGATGCAGTCCTACACGGAGTGGGAGTCGACCATGCCGTGCGCAAGTCCTGGCCAGAGCAGCACGGTAGACCTGATCTTGGTTTACAGCAAGGATCTCGCCACGGACTCCACGGCCACGGCCGCAGTCCAATCCTATGAGTCAGGCTTCGCGCAGAATGAGCACTGGACCGGCTGTTTCGGAGGCATCAAAACTTTTCCGCCAAGCTTGCCCCAGAGGAAGACCACTAGGACGACCAGGGCTATGCAATGAACAGGCACTGGGTCTCAGGTCCCAACATGGTGTTTCAGCACGTTGTGGAGGCCATGTTCACCGGAGCCTTTGCCGGTGAGTACGACAGCTTCTTCTGGATGGAGATGGATGCCGTTCCTGTGAAGGCAAACTGGCTAGACAAGTTTGTGGAAGAGGCCGCAGAGATGCCTGCCATGAACATGGCCATCCGTGGCAGCCTCTACGAGGGAGCCAACTGGCAAATGTTCTCACATATGATGCCATCCTACTTGCTGAACCACATCAACGGCAATGCCATCTACAACCTGCAGCACCCGTGGACGAAGTTCCTGTTCGACACTTTCACTGCAGAGGGCAATGCCGACTTGATTGAGGAGATGGCCTTCGACACCG